TTAATGGCAGGTTATTCTTTAGGTAATTAAATTGTAAGCATGAAGTTTTAGTCTTTCAAGAACTGGAGAAAGTTTATGGAAGAGAGAGGCTTAAACTATTAAAGAAAGAAAAGGGCCTTGAATACTGAAAAAAAAAAAACCCTGGTAATTCTGGTTATTAGAAAAAAGAATTATAAGAAATCTGTTTCACACTATGCAATTCATTCATTCATTAATTCAGTATTTCACATACAGTCATCTGTATCTTTTGTGGAAATGGTAAGAAATTTTTATAAACAGCTACAGGATTGTAGCAAACTTCCCTCTGTAGATTGTCTCTATGCCATGCACTCTAGTTCATCTGAAACCTATGAGGAAGTATCATCATGTCTGTTTTGCATATGAGGAAGCTGAGCGTGGCTGTGTTAAACGGCTTCCCCAAGGATACAGTCATAGAGGACCCATGTTAATGCCACAGCCTGTCCTGAAACTCTTCCCTTAGACTAGTGTGAACCTGGCCACTGCATGTCTCCAGGACAGTTGCAGAAAACTTGAGATGGTTTTCCTCAATCCTGAATTTGCTGGCAGAATTCCAACCTGGAGCATGCTCCACCCTGTGTGTGGGGATCAGTTCTTTGCATCCCGCTCTGTCCTGGTTGTGCATTAGCACTGCATTAAGAACCATAGGCATCTACTCCTGCAGTTTACTCTATTTAATCAACAGAGGTGTTTTCTGTCATTAAAAGAAAATTAGCAGAGCCATCAGACTTGACCCAGTCTGACCATGTACCATGAGAGCAGTTTTTCTGTACACTCCATTTTATGAGTACTGTCAGCATTGACCAGTTGTTACTTTTGAGTAGAATATGAGTTTGAGAGTCAGTGATCTCAGTAGCAGAGACAAAGGTTGCTTGTTTGGCAGTCGCTTGTCATCTCTCCAGTATGCACTCATCCATTTGTCACAACATTTTGTAGCGAGTTGCACAGGGAAGCTTAAGAAAAATGCTTTTCCCCTGTCTTGATGATAGAAAGCATTTCTCACTGCTGGTAGCATGGTGGTAACTTTTCATTCCTTCTGGCAGTTTTTAAAGACTTATTTGACTTTGGGGGAACCTGCCGTATATCTTTAAGTCACAGTTCAAAAGTATAAGACAGGGTTGCTCATTTTCAATTTTGGCTGAAAAGTCTTAACTTTCACTGTGGCACTTCAAAGTTAGAGAAAACTTGGTTTTAAAAATGGATACTGATATGAGATGGCATATTTAATGACAGATGTATCTATAGAAAGCTGTTAAGATGCAGATTATCCCCCCTGGGGTGGGGGAGGGAGATCAAAACTGCCAATCTATAAAATATACTCGATAGAGGAAGGCATGGAATCTATCTTTGCAAGTGCTTTGATTGCAGGGGACAGTATAGCAGCATGTGGCATCGTAACCCAGAGCAGACAAATCAGCTTGATGACTTTCAAAGCCAGGAATACTGCTGCAGGCAAGGGTACTCCAGTCTAGGAGAAATTAAAACATATAGAGACTGTTATTAATTCCATATCTATTTTTGTATAGTCAAATCTGTATGCAAATCCTTAGCATCTCATTTCAGCAGATTAATCTAAAAGTGAAGCGTGTTATGTGAAGGGAATGTAATGATAAAGCCCTGCAAATGAGTAACACTGCTAAAGAAATGTGGGCTGCAAACTTGGATGCTTTTTTAAAATGTATTTTAGTATTGAAAGAAAAATGGTTTTTATTTATATGCTCATTTGTAAATTATTTCAAAGGGGAAAGCAATAGAACCAGTTTCCAAGGTTTTTCTTTGCAATCCTGACTTGGCAAAAGTTGCAGCACTAGGTTTGTTAGGCACCTCCTGTGGTTTAACATTCTAGAGGGAATCTATTAATATCACATAACTGGGACTTTAATTTTTACTCCCAACTAGTAACTTAATATCTCATTTCTAAGCATTGTCATGTGAGTGAAAATTTGTATGTAAGGGTAAAGAATCTAATTACTGGGTGCAGATTAAGAAGAAAATGTATTATAGATGCATTTGTGGAAGATAGTAAATAATAGTTCTGAAAAGCATGGAGATAAATTGTATGCCCTGCTTGGGAGAGGGGATGTAATAGCTACATTCTAACCCATTGCTTGTATGTTTAATCTATAATGGGCAGAGTCTGATACATAGAGTAGTGTAAGTATTTTCAAATAGTGTCATAAAACAGATAGTTTACTGCAGTAGATATTAATTCTGTCCCATATTTCTAAAACAAGTAGAGAAACTTTTGAAGTCTTTAAATGATGGGTGGAGCTTTGCCCTCTGTTCCCTTTCAGTTAGAGAAGTGATTGTAGGCAAACTGGACATTAATCTGGTGGTTATGGCCCAGATCAAAAGCACTAGCAATTATTTTAACCCTGAAGACTTGTGAAGTCTCAAGAGATTAAATTATTCTTGTGTGGTTATGCTGAGAAAGAATTATTGAACATTCTGTTTTTAATCACACAAGAAAGGGAAGGTTGGGTGTGAAAGCAAACACAACTCTATATTTTGACACACATCCTGACTATATAGGCATTTCAGCCTTAGCTTTCTTAAGTGTGTTTTCCTTTCCTCTGATTTCATTTTTAAAATGAGATGTTCGATGAGAAATCCAGAGAAGACTTTCTTTGAGGGCAGGAAGCTCATGTCCGTGTTCTTTGTGGATTTCTCTGCAGACAAAGCTTTCGTTGATCTTTAAAATCTTAAATCTTCAAGCTTCTGAGAGAATTTTAAAAATAGTCCTCTAGTTAAGAATAGCCAAAGCCAATTATATGAAAGATATAATCTCCTTCCTGGGGTTGAGTGAGAGAGTAATGATTGGCCTGGATAGGTTCCTTCCACTTTATGTATCCATTAGTTTTGATTGATTATTCCAGCTCAGTTAAGGATTAGACACTAATCCTCTGGATTCTCATTGACTTGACTCCTAGCCATGTAGTTGATGGTGGTTTCCTACTCAAAGTATTTGAACTGTCAAAGCAAAAACTGCACCACATAAGGTTAAATAGAGAAAGAAGACTTTATTCAAGACTATTGCAATAGGAGAGAGAGATCAGAATGCAGTTTGAAATCAATTCTATTAAGCAAAGTTTTTAAGAGGAGGGTTTCTAAGCACTAGGGTGGTTTAGTAGAAAAGTACTGAAGAACACTTTGGGGGAGCTTGATTAATGGATGTGTTGTACCCATGCAGTTATTTCTGAGTTGAAAATTTTGGTCTCTGTGATTAGGCCATCTGTGTTTGGTGCTAATTGGTGCCTATCAAAGTTAGGGTCCTTGGGAGACTGAGGTTGCAGTGAGCCAAGGTTGCGCCATTGCACTCCAGCCTGGGCAACAAGAGCGAGACTGTTTCAAAAAAAAAAAAAAAAAAAAAAAAAGTTACCATCCTACTTTCCCATAGAGGCTGGGATATAGGGGACTATCTTCCTTGATGATTACATTTCAAAGGAATGGCTCTCTGGACCTTAAGGAAGATATTATTGGGTTGTAAAACTGGCAAGCAGCTTTTAAAATGATTTACATCTGAAAGAGGGAGAGAAAGAAATTATGATTACAAGTTTTCTAAAGTAAGTAATCTAAGAAAAGGGAGGTCAAAGGGCCTAGAGTCAGGAAGCAGCCTTTTTAAGTTTAGTCAAGCTAGGGGAATGTTAAGGCCATCTTGGTCAGTATCTTAACAGTATATGTTTTTTAAATTCAAAAAATTCCAATTAAAAAACTTTTTTTAGTTTGGCTTAATTTTATATCTTTATTGAAAAATTAGCTGCTTCTTTGTGATACTTATTAAAATAAGAGTTTTATTCATTTTACACCAGTGCCTAGAATGTGTAAGGCAGTATTTCTAAAGATAGACTTCTTTGGTCCCATATCCTTGATATTTTATTATCTAACATTTAATATCTACTGGTGATATTTTCTTACTATGCTGTTTTATGTATTTTTTTTTAGAGTTTTTCCACTTAATGGTAAAACTTAAAGCAAAATGTATAACTTCTGGGTTTTACAGGGCTCAGTATACACTACAAGTATGAAAAGAAGTATGAGGACAAATAAGAGAAACTTAGCTGGAAGTGTGATGATTTTCTTAGTGGTTCTTGATTAGGTGGGTCTCAAGTCTCTTAGATCTTAGCAGTTGTCAAGAGGGCTTCAAAAGGGTTGATGACAATAGCAATTGCACTGAAGAGCCCTAGATTTGTGCTGCCCAATGTGGTAGCCATTAGCCACATGTGGCTTATTGAATCCTTGAAACATGGCTAATCTGTATTGAGATGCGTCGTGTCAAATATACACTGGCTTTTGAAGAGTTACTATGAAAGAAAAGAATATGAGATATATAAAAAATCTTAAGTTTTTTGTTGATTTCATGTTGAAACGATAATTGTGGCTATATTGGGGTACATAAAATTTATTAAATTTAATTTCACTGTTTCTTTTTACTTTTTATGTGGCTACTGGAAAATTTATCATTGCATATGTGACTTGCATATGTGGCTCTTATTCTATTGGACAGCACTGGCTTTACGTCTTTTTTTGATAAGTAATATCAAGAGATATCAAGATATCACTGTGTTAGAGTACAGAGGTCCGAGCTTTAAAATTGACAATTTAGTGAAGGACAAGAATTTTCCGTTTAACTATGTCCCTGGCATAAATTGTATAGAGATTTGTCTGTGTGTAGTATGTTCACTCTCACTCCCTAATACTTTGCCCCTCATTCTGGCCATGCAGAACAGCTTGTCAGAATTGGGGCCCTCTTGGTAATGTCAGCATACTTGTTGCTTGCTCTTAACTGGATTGCTTCTGAAATGTTTCTTGAAAATGAAACTGCTTCAACAATAAGCTTCTTAATTATGTCATGGGCTCACCATGAGGGTATACAAACAGATCCTCAGCAGTAGCTAATTTTCCTTTAATTGTATCTCATTCTTATGTTGGAATATCCTGTTTCTTATTCATGAAAAGCTCTAACACATGTTAATCCATTACAGGTGGAGTAACTAATACGGCACAATATCAGAACAGGCTAATGGTATATGAACCTAACCAGGTAAGAATCATATAAGAACACCTCATTATTTTAATTAAAATGAATTTTAAAAGATTCCAGAGTAATTAGTAATTGGAATGCCAAGTCTACACACACAGATATGCATCTTGAGCTTATATAGAGAAAAGGAAGCATCTTATTAAACTGCTTTTTGGTTCATTTTTTTGTTTTGTTACTCAAAACATTTCAGCTCCTCTAGTTTTGTGCTATACACAACACATCAGCCTTTCAGAGTTTTGCATCATATAGAAATGATTTTAACTGTCCCATTGCAATGTCCTTCTGGAAGGGGCTGCCATTCTAGGAGGGAATCATGCTTATGGTTTATTCTAAAACACAAGTATTAACTTAATATAGCCCCAGTGACCTAAAACAGTATCTAGGACAACTCTAAAGAAGTATATGAAGAGTTTGAGAGATGGGAAGTATCTGAAGAGTTTTCATCTAACAGCTGGGGGTTGAATATGCATTTGGATGGTGCCTGTACCTTCTTTTGTCTACTACTTTTCATGTACACCCAAATACTATTTTTCCCCCAAAGGAAATATTTTTGTTCTCTTTTCCATATACCAAAATATGTATGAACCTTGGCAATTGTGTGCTGAATTTTGCCATTTCTATGATTTTGGTAATGTAAATATTTTTGATTATGACAGTATTCTGAAATGATTTGTAGGTTTAATATTCATCAGTTGAAGGTAATGGGATATGACACAACAGGTTGGCTTTGGCAGTCTGGGTTGGGACCGGTCACCAAATTTATGTCCATAGTGGACTCAGTGTATTTGGTATCTTTTTATTTTAGCAATTACTTGATTCTGTATTTAACGAAGGCATTTCTCTCTTTGCAAAGTGTGTTTCCTGATGTCATTAGAAGCTGTAGATTTCAGAGACCAAATGTCCGTGGGTCAGCTGTCTCAAGAGGGATCGTTAATTGCAGTTGCTTGAGTTTGGTGCACACGTGGTTAAAGAGGAAGAAGGTGTTAACATTTCTCAAATGAGTTCTGTTTCATGTTTGTACACACATGCTCTTTTAAAAAATTCTGCTGGCGTATTGTTTACAGTGGGTACTGGCAAACATCACATCTGCTTGCATCTTGCTCAGAATCTCAATAACTCTATCATTTGGCCCTGGTGCTTATTTCTCTTCTAGGCCTTTGTGGAAAGTCGATAATGCCTGCCATCTGCCACAGAGCACATTGCTACCTGCCAACAGGCAGGCTGGGGTGACCTCTGCTTCCCCACCACTGATTAGTATTCACACGCTAGCTTATTAGGAATGACCCCACCAGGCCTGTTTCTTTGCCTTTGCAGTGGTTGGCGGCTCACCTGGCAGGCACTGCAGTGAAGGAAGCTGAAGATATAATCAGGGGATGCAGGCAGGCTTTGCAAACCAGATGGCATCCATAGTCTGGTGGCAGGGGACTGGACTGCTAATGCAAACATTGATTCCTAATACTGTAATGGGTTGTATCATAGAAAACACCTAAGAAAAGCATCCTCAGAGTTTTGAGTTAAATATATTCATGTGTAATGTATTATAGATATTAGCAAAATAGCTGAAAGGCAGGCTTGACTCTTTTATTAAAGAAGACATTTGATTGGAAGGAAATTCTTATGATATGTTCGAATGGGGGAACAGATGAATGCAAGCTTTTCAAGCCGTACAAATCACTTCTTTTCTTGAGTGTATCTTTAAAAGAAAAATTAGAAATGAGCTAGTCTATATGCCTATTAGAGTGGACCAATTTTTATACAAAATGTTTATTGTTGTTGTCTTTTGCTTCTTCCCTTACAGTTTTGTGAAATGGTGAAATTCTATGTATTCAAAACATCATATGACTTTTTTTTTTTTTCTGGCTGAAATCCATTTTTTTCTTGGCAAAAAGGAATCTGGGTTATTCCTGTATGCTTAGTGTTTAGGTAGAAAGAAAACTGTTATGTTTATTTACCTGTCCATTACTTTCTTTACTTACCTGTCCATTACTTAGTTGAGATTTAAAATTAAGGTCATGTTTGGTCTTCATTTAATTTTACAATGAGAGCCTTATTTTATGAAAGGTTGGGCATACTCTTCTCATTACTGAGGGTGAACCAGAACCAAATATTGGAGGTTTCACCATTCCCTAAAGTTATCATATAAAACTTAGTCTTCCAGCGGGGCATGGTGGTTCACGCCTATAATCCCAGCACTTTGGGAGGCTGAGCCTGGTGGATCATGAGGTCAGGAGTTCGTGACCAGCATGGCCAACATGGTGAAAGCCCATCTCTACTAAAAATACAAAAATCAGCCAGATGTGGTGGCACATGCCTGTAATCCCAGCTACTTGGGAGGCTGAGGCAGGCGAATTGGCTTGAACCTGGGAGGCGGAGGTTGCAGTGAGCCGAGATCACGTCACTGCACTCCAGCCTGGGCAACAGAGCGAGACTCTGTCTCAAAAACAAAACAAAACAAAACTTAGTCTTCCACCAAAACAAATAAATGTGTGCCTAGAAATAACCTTTCCCAATTTGGCAAAAGATGTGACTGTTAATATATTAAAGGAGGCTGATAAAAGGAAGTGTGGGTGGTTTGTTGCTGAACAAAATCTTAGCTCTTCCACTGATCTCAGGAGGTTAATTTTGGAAAGAACAGCAGAGCCATTACCCTATCTTATCTAGGGGCCTAAGGTACCCAGTGATTATCATCACATCATTTTGAAAAAATGAATATGCATTGAACATTTTTCATGTGCATTTTTCTAAGTGCTTTATGTATATTAGCTCATTTAATCTTCACAATAGGCTTATCAGGTAGGCATTATTATCCCCATTTTACAGATGAGAAAACTGGCACAGAGATATTAAGTAAATTGCTTAAGATCACATACAAGTTATAAACCCAGGCAGTCTATATCCAGAGACTGTTTTCTTAATCATTGCACCACTGTGTAAGGTATACCTCGCCATGTGCTTTCACGCTTAATGTATTTGCATGAATAAATTCTCTGAATTGGGTGAGATAAACATCATGAAAATTTCAATGTTCCCCTTATATAATTCAAAATGCGCTATAAAATGCAATGCAAACTAGCAGAGATGCCATGTGTAAATCGCAAAAAACAATTGGAATATGTGACTCTTTTGTACTTGTTCTCATGTAAGAAGCACACACCTTTCAACATATATAAACAACATCCAAACAGAATGTTTGATAAACATTAGGGTTCCCACTACTTATGAGGCACTCATTACTGTTTTCTGACATGGAGGTCTCCTACTAACAGAATGCACTTAAATTTCTTTTTTCAGAATAAGTGGATAAGCCGTAGCCCCATGCTGCAGAGAAGGGTCTACCATTCCATGGCTGCTGTAGAAAGGAAGCTTTATGTTCTTGGAGGCAATGACCTAGACTACAATAATGACCGGATCCTTGTGCGCCATATAGATTCTTACAACATAGACACTGACCAGTGGACACGTTGCAGTTTCAACCTGTTGACTGGCAAGTACCTTTGATTAAGTAAATCAGGAAAAGTAGATTCAAGAAGTCACCAAACATGTTTCATAGACATCTTTAGGGCATCACTAAATATTAAGTGCATAGTTGTAGAAGAACCTGCATTTATTAACCAGAAAGATGTGTATCATTTATGTTCTAACAGAACTGGACTCATTTAGGTAGCTGAGCATCTGATTTCTCAGGGCCTATATTACCACCATTGTGTACATCCTCATATGGCTGAGAGGCATGTCAAGTCCATTATCATCCATCAGTATTAACATGGAACTCTGATACAAATAGGAGGAACCAGACACTGAAAGATTTAATAACTCTTTACAGAAGGAATTTACTGTTACTTCTCACTGCTTTTAGTCTTATTTCTTGTGAGTTCAGGAGGAGCATGGTCTTCATTATTTGTCACTGTCAAATACCGTTTCTGGGAATATTCTCCTAGAAATGAAACCCTTAAGTAGTTCTGTGCACCGGAGTTTAGTGGCATTTCTGGCCACAAATACCCATCCAAGCATTTACCACAGGGCAACATTAGGTATGGACCATTCTCATCCCAAAAAAGGATGAAGGTAACATGGTGAACAACTTACCCCTCTTGTTTCTTTATTGAGTTAATAACTTTTTCCCCCTTGTCAGCTTGCATTGTTAACATCTATAAGTGATCAGATCCCTTCCAGGTCTGCTCAAATAATAGGAAAAATCATAAACCGAAAATGGTAGGTTGGGTTGAGACATTTTAGTATGCTGAGTGGGCACTCAATCCCTTGCAGCTGCTGCTGGGGGAGGCAACACTGGGAATCTAACCAGAGGGTTAGATGCTTGTATTGAGCTCCTGTTTTTGCAAAATGATTTTTGAGGCCCACTGAACAAGGACTTAGAAACTCGGGCCCTCGATTCTGGATCTGTGATTCTGCCTGCTGTAAGATCCAGCTTATTTATTACCCCAGTCAATCCTGTGTCAGCCCATCAATAAAAAGAGACTCTTTCACTCTCTGATGGCCTCCAGGGAAGAATATGTGGTAGTGAGTTATTCTGTCTTCTTTTTGAAATGGGAGGGGAAACCTTTCATCATTTTGGCGTGTCAGTATCTGGGGATTATCCAGGCTGGTCCCAGCTCAGGAACTTTAATATAATCTTTAAAATGTTGGGTATGTAAAGAAAGGTAGGATAGCAAGTTGATCAATCTTTTCTGCCGTTTGTCTTCATTTGGGGCATGCTAGGGGCATGGCTCTGCTTTATTGGCTTCTTGGAGTTGCAGCTGTTACTTTACAAATGTAAGCACTTGCCTAAAAAGCATTTGTGGGTACTAGAAGAGGTGTTTGCATTTCTATAATATACCTTATTTCCACCACTGTAAATTAATGGCATATGACATAGTATAGAATTCAGTTCTACATGGCTTACTATTGCTGTATTTAATGCTGTATTTACTAACTTGGCTGGCTAATAAGTGTTTTGGCCTGGTTCTGACCCAACACAGATTCATTCTCTGAGAAATAGTGCTTAATTTTTCTGAGTACTGGGAGGCAGTGATTAGTTGTTGCAAAAATCCCATGGAGTACACAAATGTGCCACAGGGGAAAATTGTATCCCTCAGTGGCAAAAGGGTTAATTAAAATATGTAAGAAATGGATTTTTTTTTTTCCTTTTTATTCAATTCTCTTTACTTTAGGCCAAAATGAATCTGGAGTTGCTGTCCATAATGGGAGAATATATTTAGTTGGTGGATATTCAATTTGGACAAATGAGCCTCTGGCTTGTATCCAGGTGAGTGGTTGAAGTTCCTTTTGAAGTTTGTTCAGGTGGTTCAGTGAGGTTACATTTTGTAATGCTGCTACTGAAGAAAGAGATATTTATGTTTAGAAAGAGGCTTAATGTCTCCTTTTTGTGTGCAACTAGTTCAGCCACTAAACTTCATCCTGTATCCTAAAAGTGATGCCTAAGTAAATTATTGAGCCCTATTAAAAATAAAAATGGGGATGAGCTTTGAAAAATATATGTAATATATATTGGAAACTGGGAAATTGGGATAGCTTTCCCTTTCTCATAAACCAAACACTTCTAAAAATCTTTGGCAATAGTTCCTTCACATCCCTCAAGTTTTACAAATACTTCCTTTCCACACCATTGCCTTATTTTCTGTATTACACTTCATTCATTCCCATACAGTTCATTCAAGTCCCTGATAGGGACAGCCTCTGTTCCAAAGAATAGCTCTGGTGCATCAGTGTATGAGGAGCCCAGGCTGGGCAAGTTGCCAGCTGGGCCTTTCAGAAGAGCAATAGCCCTTGTTGATAGACACATTCATAGTCTTATTCCTATTATTATTTTACAGTTATTACCATAGTTTTCTATTTTACATGTTCTCTGATAAAATATTGACATGTTTTAGCCCTGACCTTTCTTCCTGACCTCCAGAAAAGTATATCCTTATAACTACTTTTATTATCTAATCTCATCTTTATGGGAAGATTTTTAACAACTGCATCAATATCTTTAATAGTTGCTGAACTGTTCAACCTTTTTCTTTCTTTATCAGTCACATCTCATAAGGTACGTATATTTTCAAGAAACTTCCATGTTTTCTAAGTTTTCAAAATTGCTAGCATATAGTTGTTGTGTTATTCTTAGTTATATCTCCCTTTACATTCATAATATTGTCTCTTCTTCTCTTGATTTGTCTTGACAGAGGTTTGTCTGGGGAATTTAAAGTACTTCTATTATTCATATAGATGAAGTTTAAAAAAGTCGGCAAGGGTAAGGTAGATAAGGAAAATATAATTAACAAGCTTGTCTGAATGGATATGAGTTCTGACTGAGCAGTTGGAAAGAATATATTTTTCTTAGCATACATGGAACATTTACAAAAACCAGTCATGTACTAGGGTTAGGGTTAAGAAAACTTTAGTTAAAAAAATTAAGTATTGTATAGTATTATGTATCTCTAATACAATGTAATTAAGTTAGAACTTAACAACAAGAACAAAAAAACCCTACATAACTGGAAATAATAAAACACATTGCTATATAACTTATGGGTTAAAGAAGAAATCATAATGGAACTCAAAAAATTTCCCAGAACTGTGATAATAAAAACAATACACAGCAAAGCTTGTGAGATATAGCTTCGTAAGTTAGAAAATGAACCAAAAAGTAATCCCAAAGAAAGTAGAAGGGGAGAGATGATAAAGATGAGAGAAAATTAATAAACTGGGAAACGATAATACAGGAGAAAATAATTATCAAAGCCACACACACACGAAGAACCACATAAGACTTTAAGGGAGTTCACTGAAGGCTGCCTTGTACTGGTTTTAGTTAGTTAATGGAAAGCTGCCTTAGACTAGAGCTTCGTCCTGTCTTTCGAATAACAACAAATGAGCAAACTTTTCTCCAAAGAGTGCTTCTAGTCTTCATCCAAGCATGTATTTGGTAGTCTTTCATAGTCTTTCAGGTTTCTTTTTAGTTTTTACTTTTCAGAATTGGTAGAACTTAGAAGTGGGCAACAGTTCTCTATGGTGCTGGAACGCTGTTTTTAAAGTGGCTTTGGGACCCTCATTTGATCACTTTTGCACAATGGAAGTAAGTTTGGGTTTCTCATGAAATAAAATTGTAAATTTTAAATACATTTATGAGCATTTGTCTACTAATTTTAGTATCAGATTAGCTCAAGGAATAGAAAATGAGTGGAAAACATAACATAATGAAGAAATAAAGAAAACGCTGTACATATCAAGTATAGGAGACCAGAGTGCTGCCATAGTGCACATTTTTTCCACATCTCATATTTTGTTAAGAGTCTTGAATGTTAGCTTGTAAGACATAGAAACTTAAACTTCGTAGTCACATCATTTGTTTTTTGTCACCAAAGAATTTTTCTGTAGAATGATCACTAATCATATACACTAATTAATTGCTAATGACATTTGACTGTTTTCAAACAAATCCATCCACAAGAAATGAAGAGTTATACAAGTGCGTATTTTAAACCACTGAGGATGTTTGAGAGTATCCTCATGATTATGGTGATTCTCAAAGGGGATTCAATTATTTTTTTAAATCAATACCTGTATTAGTAGAATAAGTTTCACCTCTGAGATTGTACAATAATATATTCTAATATATTTGCTTTTAAATAAAAGTCAGCATGATGGGTATTTCTGTGTTCCAGTAGCCATTTTGATGAACAGAATCAATCCTTTGGCAAATGCTGTTTATTCCTTTGGCTGGCACACTGGTCCGACAAAGCACAGACAAATTTGTTAATTTTTTTTTTTTTTTTCCTGACAGTGTGTTGCTCTGTTGCCCAGGTTGGAGTGCAGTGGCGCGATCTTGGCTCACTGCAACTTCCGCCTCCTGGGTTAAAGTCATTCTCCTGCTTCAGTCTCCTGAATAACTGGGATTTCAGGCGTGTGCCACCATGCCCAGCTAATTTTTTGTATTTTTAGACAGGGTTTCACCATGCTGGCCAGGCTGGTCTCAAACTCCTGACCTCATGATCCACTCACCTTGGCCTCCCAAAGTGCTGGGATTACAGACGTGAACCACTGCACCTGGCCCATTTGTTATTTTTAGGAGCCTTTACTATTAATAGGTAACAAGTATCCCTATAAGCATATGGATTATCACTTAAAGAGATGTTTGAAATAGAGGTATTCAAGGATAGTCACATGTATCTTTCATTTTAGTTAAATGACAGCTGGTTACAGGCTATATTATCATTCATTCTGAACTAAAGCTCAATTTTTTTTTTTTAATGTTATGGATGACTACAGAACAATTTGTTTCAATACATTCACAGTAATAAATTGATGGTTGGAGAGAATAGCTACATGTTCAAAAGCAGGCCACTTCTTTACTACTTAAAGAATATCCAACAGAGGCAAGATGATGGAAGACTGGAATAGTATTTATGAGAAAATGCTTAACAGTGGAAATTCCTAAGTATGTCAGTGGGTTGAGAAGTACAGAAGCATGGTGGGGAAAATCATATACATACTAAAAATATAAAGGTTTAAATTTTTTGTCATCAACCACAAATCTATATAATGTTTGATCTAAGATTAATCCACAAATCATTAATCCAAGAGCATGGCTGATTAATGGAAGTCATACTTAAATAGTTCTGAGATTGTTCTATTAACATTCGGAAGTACTAATTGTTTTTTGCCCTCAAAAGTACCAGCTGATAATTTCTCATTGAACTGTCCCTTCTGGACCCTAATCCAAGCTCATTTAACTGTGATTTGTAGGATTCAACCACAGTGGGATGAAGCATGTCCAATGTTGAAAAAGCATACTGTATTTCCTGCTACTACTCTGATTTAGCACAGACTATTTATCCATCAGAAGGACAACCCAAACAAGAGAAAATCAGAGATACTCTTAGATTGAGATTTGGACTTGTTATTAATAAACACTTATGGAAAATACTAGAAATAGATTACTGATGAAAGTGAAGGTGTTCTTGTTTGTTTAGTGGGTGTGTAAACTAATGTCTGTCACAGAGGTTTGACTCTAATCTTGTGTGCCATGGATGACAAGTGGCACATAAAGGAGCAGCTGCGTAAGTGTGCAAGTGATTAGTCTATGTTTCTAGATCACCTCTGCTGTTCTCTTCATTTACTATTATTTCTTTTTGGCTGGAGGATACAGTGCCAGCTTGGCACCACATTCTCTCAAACGCCTTCTTTCAGCCAGTTTACAGGGGAGTGTTTTGGAGAAAAACTGCCAATGCTTCCTTTTCCCTTCTCAGATTAAATACATTACATCTGCTTAACATATGCAGTCTCTGTTGGCCCAGGAAACCAGACAAAAGCTCTCTGGATGATTATCTCGTTAGTATTTTGCCTTCTAAAAATGTTTTCAGTCAGAAGGGAGAGCACACAATCCTTGCTCTTTCTGGGTTGCATCCTGAGCTCAAATACTGGCTCCACCCCTTGCCGTGTGACCCTGAGAAAGTCATTTAATTTTTTCTGGTATCAATTTTCTTCTCTGTAAATTTGAAGACAATACTTATCCTTATAGAGTTGTGGTAAATACTAAATGACCTCTGATTTACTTTCTGTATCTAATGAAATACTGGCCAAAATCCCACTGGGGTTTTCCCTTTTCTCATGGGGCGAAGTAGTCAAACTGATCTTGAAAGTTTCTCTAGGAAAGTAAATGTGTAAGAATAATCAAGAAAATTTTGAAAATAAATGGAGTCTTGCCTTACCTAGTCAAAACAACTGTAAATGTGACACTGAAAGAAAATACGTCAATTAACAAGAGAACAGAGAAAACGTTTGTATTTAGTATATGAGTTATTTTAAATTAGTAGTGACGGGGTATATTGTTCAATAAAGAGATTGGGACATCTAATTTCCATTTAAGTTTGTTCTTTCTTTTATTCTAGGACTTAGTAATTTCCTCCTTTGTGAACACGGATTCCCAAATTTCAAGGGCCCATTTCCTGTAAAATAATGTGTTATTGCAGTTAAAGTCTTTTTTTTTTTTTTTTTTTTTTTTTTTTTTTTGAGATGGAGTATCGCTCTGTCGCCCAGGCTGGAGTGCAGTGGCGCGATCTCGGCTCACTGCAAGCTCTGCCTCCCGGGTTCAAGCCATTCTCCTGCCTCAGCCTCCAGGGTAGCTGGGACTGCAGGTGCCTGCCACCACACCTGGCTATTTTTTTTGTTTTGTTTTTAGTAGAGACGGGGTTTCACCGTGTTAGCTAGGATGGTCTCGATCTACTGGGCTCGTGATCCACCCGCCTCGGCCTCCCAAAGTGCTGGGATTACAGATGTGAGCTACCGCGCCCAGTCTATTGCAGTTAAAGTCTTAAGATTTATCCACACAGGTGATAGATGAAGGCATGAGAGTGGACTAGATCATTAAAGAAGGATACTAAGAGGTCTGTGATTGAAATATTGGGAAACACCTACGTCCAGGATGCAGATGAAGGAAAAGGGACCCAAGGTGGATTGCGATATGACAATGTCAATGACAAACTTTCATTTTTTTAAAACACTAAATCCAAGGGAGGCAAATGTTTAAATAGAGAAAAGTCAAATGAAGAGGGATTAAGATAACAGAAGACTTGAAAGAGCCGAATAGGTTTGACAAATCGGGTGAGAGCAGCTTTCCTGAAGAAAGAATTTTCCTACTTTGAAGATTCAGCCAGGTTCAGTTAGGAGACAGCAGGCACTGACTAACAAAGAAGCTGTGCTATATAAGAAGAGAGAGGCCAGGCACAGTGGCTTACACTTATAATCCCAGCACTTCGGGAAGTTGAGGTGGAAGGATTGCTTGAGCCCAGGAGTTTGAGACCAGCCTGCGCAACATGGTGAGAAACCATCACTACAGAAAATTTACAAATTAGCTAGGTGTGGTGGTGTGCACCTTTGGTCCTGGCTACTCGGGAGGGTGAGGCAGCAGGACTGTTTCAGCCCAAGAGATCAAGGCTACAGTGAGCACCACTGCACTCCAGCCTAGGTGACAGAGCAAGACCCTGTCAAAAAAAAAAAAAAAAAAAAAAAAAAAAAAAAGAACTCCAGCATGACCAGGAAAGAACTGGGGAAAAACTTCCAGAATCAACTGAACTAATTTTGAACTTGCTACTAAGCTGTGTTATATTCCACTACCTGCCAGACACTGAGCTAGATGTCATCAGTTTTCACAACAAAGCTACAAGGTCTTGTTTTCTTCATTTCACAGATGAGGATGTTTAAGCCAACATGATGACAGACCACCTACTAACTAGTTTGGGCAAGTTATTTAACTTGTCTAAGGCAGTTTTCTTACATGAAGATAATGCTACCTACCTCTAATTGTTCTGAAGATTAAATGCTTATAAATACACATGTATGTATATATGTACATCCAGAAACATACTACCATAGTGTAGCATTTAGTAGGAGCTTAATAAATATCTCTGGTACCATCCAAGCAAGAAAAAGAATTCCTAAGATATGGTGATGGTAGCATAACTAAGTTCAGAATTTCTTCTATGTATACATAGCTTTATTTTGAGCAGTCATCTTTGATGTACAGGCTGCTTCTCTTCCTCTTTTGAAGGTACTGGATGTAAGCAGAGAAGGCAAAGAAGAAGTATTCTATGGACCTACACTCCCTTTTGCTTCCAATGGAATAGCAGCATGCTTCCTTCCAGCTCCATATTTCACATGCCCTAACCTTCAAACTCTTCAAGTGCCTCATCACAGGATTGGCACCGTCTGAAAAGCCAATGCCATCATGAACAGGAGGAAACCATAGCCCTGACTGTTGGATACTGGGCATGAAAAGACTCAGTGCTCAATGCTTCCTTGTCTTGCTTTATAGGTCTTGTATTCTGATAAATTTAAGCAAAAAATGAACAATTTTCTAAAATACATTATTAAAAACTCTTGTCACCCTTCTCAGTGTATGTCAACATGCAATATGTATGACTTTTATTGTGGTATAGCTTAGTGCCAACTTAAGGTACATTGTGTCCCAAGGGTCTTTAGAACATTCTTTGTACACTTTTTCTAATCAGCACTGTCTTAACATAACACTGTTAGTAAGGCAATTTACTGGACAAAATGGCATCGATGATCTTAAAAAATATATATTCTGTACTTAATCCCTTTATTATTTAAAGCGGGGCTTGTAATTTTTCTTTTTAAAATTTAACATTAAGCAGCCCTGCTCAGTAGAAACTCAGCATTATGACATCATAAATTTTTAAATACCATATTTTATTCAAGGTGATACGAATAATAGACATACACTGGAACAGCAGTTGGAACACCCAGATTTTTCACCTTGGTTACGCTGACCTTGGGTCAGAACCTAACTTTACAATACTTCAGTTTTCCCACCTTTTAAGGAGGATAATTACTGATTTCCATGTTAATTTAAAAGAACATCATGAGGATTAGGCAAACATTTTGAAATACTTTGCCCAAGAAAAAGAAAAATGTTACTGAAATTACAAGGTATTTTACTGTCTTTAGAACCTTGTAAATGAACAGGGAGATTATTTTTGAAGTTTAAAAATTACTAGATAGAATTTGGAAACATGTTATGGAATAAATGATTCTAAAAAGCATGTGAAAGAGACACACAATTAGGAAATAGGGAGTTTATTAAAATCAAAGATATCTAAACTTGTACAGATATCTAAACTTGCCTCAAGTAACTCTCAGATGTCTCATTTAAAATCATTTAGTGAAAAATGACATTTAAAGCTAAAAAATAATTTAGTTGTACTAATTATGGTACCATAAAGTGCTTTGACATAAATTTGAACCTAGAATTGGCAGTTCTAATAAAAGTTTTTCCACTTTGTTAAAGGTTATGTCAATCTTGAGTGCTTGTGGGATTCTTCTCCACCACCAATACATATTTTATTACTATCACTTTTAATAATGCATAGGAATTCTTTTTTAGGCTAGTTTTTGAGTTTGCTTTGTCTATAACAAAAAATAAATACAACAACTTAATAATCACATTTGAAAACAAATTTAACAAGTATAATGTGAGTTTTTCTTTTTTTCCTAACTTCCTCAGGACCTAGGTCACCTTTATTAAAAGGAAGAATTCACTCTTTTTTCCTTGACAGTTTAATCATTCAGCAATCCCTCTCTTAAAGGAAATTGTTATTTTATTCATGTAACCATTTTTTGTAATCAAAAGTGAATAAAAATGATCTTTTTGTCTCACAGAATTCACTAACTTCATATATCATTATACATAAAACATAGAAATAAATATATGGTTTCTGGTTATTCAGATTTAAAGGGCAGGAAGGAGACTAGGGAGAAGGAAAACAGGTAGATTTTTAAAAGAATAGGAATTTAGTATAGACTAAATTCCTTAGTATACTTAGTATATTTCTTTTAGTATAGACAAACCACTGTTGAGGACAGTTCTCAACAGTGAAAATTGATATGGACAATTGATATTTAGAATGATGACAGCTTCTTTAAATGGTTTAAGCCATCTAAACTAAATTTTAAAAATGCCTTACCAAGGCAGGAAAATGAACTCCAGTATTTCAGAAATCTTTTCAACAGGGACTTAAGTATTCAGCTATATTAATTTTTGTACTTGGGACATGAATTTTCTCTCTAGCAGTTTTACCTAGTAAAACTATGAAAATCTATTTGTATTCCCAGGCCCTACATCCAATCAATGAAAGGGAAAGCTCTAAAAACAAGCTTACCCAACTAATGGAAAGGTAGCCTGAGACTACCCTCATTTCTGTATATATTTTTAACAATTCATATAAAACAAATCAGCATATATTATCAACCCCTCCTAAGTGATCTTTATAATGTAATATTCACTAATATTACAGAACTGAACTCAGAATTTTAAAAAGTTTTACCAGGTTCAGACACATCCTTTATAACTATAGCCAAGAGTAGTACAAAAACATAACATCTCTTCCCTAAAAGGGAAAAAAACCTAGATAAGTTATAATTAGATCCTTTTATTCAAGGTTATCAATAATAGAATTCTATTAAACTATGTCTGTTCATATGAGCCAAATTTCACTGAAAGTATTCAAATATACATTTTCGATTTAAGTGAACTACCCTATAGTAATTCATCTTCCATTTCCATTTTTATTCTTCAAAATTAAAGGTTATATTGTATTTGTAATGTAAATTATTATACTAATGTGAATTTCTATAGGAAGGTCATGAGACTTGCAAACATTTAAATATCACTTCAAGTTTTTACTTTAAAAGAGAAAACAAAATACAGTACCACACAGATGATAACAGATATTCTTGGTGTTAAAGGAAAAGCCAGCAAAGATGTGAATTTCTAAAATCATCTGTACAATGCAATAACACTTCTTAGATCCTTAATAACAAAATAGCAATTAGGTAATGATTAGGGTACTTTTCATACTTTTTCCTTCATATTTTCTTCACACTTTAACCACATGTACATCAAACTCTTTCAGCTACCATGACATCGGAAAACCTAACTTTCTATAGTTTTACCACAAATATAAAAACATCAGTAATAAGATAGAAATTATTCCTTCTGGTAACATGGCTCATTTTTACTTTAGCTTCCACATAATGAATCTGTTATAAAAAGGAAGTTTTCAATAATCAAGGGCACAATGTAAGTTAAATATATACTTTTATTACTATATATAAATTTTTATCATATGCACAAATAACTCATAAATATGTATATAAAATTAAAATGTCCACAATTTTTCTAGAAGCACAATTCACAAATGCAATGAATTGGACGCCATCGGCACAACAAAAATTTTAATAAGTATAAACTGGTCAATTCCAACCATTTGGTAATTTACAATGCAGGTTGTCACACTATCAAAATACACATCTTATTAAATTTGTGAAGAATATGCTACGTTGCTAGCTTCCCAAACCAACTGTTTCTATCCAAATAAAGCATATTATTTATATTGGCATACTATACTCTTGCCTGACAAGGCAATATTTTTAACTCTAAGAGGGGTAGGCAAAAGATCAGTTTTTTGAAAATATAATATTTATATAAAAAGTCTGGATAAAAAAGCAGTGGTTTAGTACAGATGATTCAACTTTTGGTGAGGTTTCTGTATCTATTTACCTTTCAGACATGGGGAGACATGAGTGGTATGATAACATGTACGGTTTGGGGAAGGCAGATTTCTAAAGGCTTTTCTCGACTGTAGAAGCTTGTCAAATTTTTATATAACACATAATTTTAGCTGTCAAAGATTCTGTGAAAGTACATGAAAACAAGTCCATGTAATTATTTAAGAACAAGGTAGTTTAAAAAATTTGTTGTAAAGCATGGAAGAAAATAATAATAGGTAATGAAAACCCACAAACATCTGACTCACAAATATTATATAGATGCTGAGGTAGAAAAAGTCGAATATGCTTAAGAAGAAAACATACGAAGGACAGGTATAGATATACAAGTTTTAAACTATGAAATTCTTCTAATGCAAATGAACTCAATACTGAATGACTTTTCCACAATCCGTGCTTCCTTCCTCGCCATGGAAACGTTCTAATTAAATTGAAATTTAAATCATAACCAAATCCAAATGCCTAATAAAGTCCTTTCATCACTGTTGTCCTTCAACCGTCTTTTATACTCTATCTGGTATTGTATAGATATTATTTGACTGGAATACTCATGTCTCCAAATGTGTATTTTAATTTTCTTCCTATTTAAGTGTCTTCAATTTCTATAGGAAACAGGTCCTATACAGTTTCCACACTGTAAACTGAATGAGACTGAGTGTAGGATGAACATGGCAATCAGAGAAAACTACAAAAGGAGCCTCTTGTTTGGAAAGAGATAAGCTTGAAGATAAAAGGTACAGTCAGATAGGTAGCAGAAAGTCTCCAGACTGAAGGGTTTGAACATCACCTTATAAACAATGGGCAGTTATTGGAAGTCCTTGAGCAGAAAAGTAACAAGAGGAAAACAGTATTTTAGGAATATACATTTCAGAACATAAGATGTAGGAGAGGACACCAGAGGTAAGGAAATAAGTAGTGCCCAGCAGAAAAAACAAACATCAAACCAGTGGATGCAAGGCATTGCAAAAAGAAAAAAAGAAGCCTAAGAGCCTGTAATGGTAATCAACTGAAAGTGGGAGAAAAACGAAGAACCTAAAATGCCTCTGACATTTCAAGGCTAAATAACTTGGGACAATAGTGTATTCCCTGGGTAGAAAATCAAAGCAGGAGGTAGTCTGAAATAGAAAGTGACATGGGTAGCTTGACATGTTGCCTTGAGATTTCAGGAGACTCCAACTACAGAGGTTTAGAGATAAATTAGAACTAGAAAGAGATTTAAGAGATAAAAGGTGGAGCTATCAGTTCACCACTAACAGAATGTTGAGACAAAGCAGATGAAGGGTCATATCTTACGACTGGGGACAGGAAAGAAGACCATGAAGGTGCTCTCAAGATACAGTGGTCATTTCTTGATATGTCTGGGGATTGGTTCCAGGATCCCGTGTGCATACCAAAATCTGCATATACTCAAGTCCCGCAATTGGCCCTGAGGAACCTGCCTATACAAAAAGTTAGTCCTCCATATACTCAAGATTTTGCATCCCACAAATACTGTATTTTAGATCCACATATAAGTGGACCCGCACAGTTCGAACTTGTGTCGTTCAAGGGTCAACTGTATATGTAGGAGGGAGCAGCATCATTGTGGAACTGATGGGAAGACAAAAGACAATTGTCACAGAAAGGACAAAGAACATGAGAAAGGAGAACAAACTCAGATTTGACCAAAAAAGAATGGCTTATATTACACTGGTAGAAGAAGTAGCCTCCGAAATTACAGGGTATTTAGGGAAAAGTGGCTATTAAAGAAGCAGGTATAAGGGACTCCAAGTCTGGGAATGGAAGAAGGCAAGATTGTAGTAGTAAGTGAAAGATCAGTGAAGATTTTTTAAAAAAGGAACTGAGCCATAAATTTTCTTCTTTCGTCAACTAAAAAAAAAAGCTTTAAAAAAATTTTACTTATACATAAATACAAAACATATAATACACATACATATTGTTACAGACTTTGTTGTTACCATTTTTAAGTACAAATTTTAGTTATTCTTAGTATCTACAGATATATGTCCTAAAGCATGATTCAGTAGCAGCTTTTCCTATCCTTTAAATGTTTCATACTCTAAGAAGCAAGATTCTCAAACATATCTTTAATCAATCTCCTTTGGAAAAAAAAAACACATATATATATACACACACACACATATACACATAAATAACCTCTTTAAAGGCATCACCTTAAATAGATAAAACTCCTCAGTAACTGCTGGAACTTGCCAAGCCATACATTATTTGTTTAGTAAGTCACTATCATGATGAAAAGAAATTCAGTGTTATGAAGTCTATTAAGCAGCCTTAAGCTTTCGTTTATTCCATTTGATGAAGTTGATTTGAGAGAACATTTATATGTTATGAAAATAACAGACACTCCTTTGGATTTCACAGATTACAATTAAGAGAGAGCTATTAACTATAGAATGCTGATTGCAAAGTATTTCTTTTTTAAAGATACTCCTTGAGCCACAGAAGGGTTGAAATGTTTTCTTGAAGGAAGAGTAGAACCACGATAAAGACTATAATCCCAAGAAGGAAACAAATTACTTCAAAGTTAGAAAATATGATGTAAGAAAACATTGGAAAGTGGGATCATTCATCTGGGACATATCATTAGAGAAAGATAAAATTGAGAGGTGTTCTTTGCCTTAATTGTGCATGAGTAATAAACTAATCATGTCTGTACATTTCCTAACAGAATATGGGCCACCAAATGTTTTCACATTTATCCCATTGATTCTCACAATAACATTGTCAAATAGTAAATGGATTCTTCTTTTCTTCTCCATGAAGAAACTAGACTGAGAAAGGTTATGTAACTAGCTCAAGATCATAAAGCAAAGCTGAGTTTGAAACCTAGGTGGGTTCCCAAAACTAGGACCGGAGTTCTTTCAACCAAATAATGATCACTATGAAAAGGAGTCAAGGACAAGATCCAACTGGTAAAACAATCTGGATGAGGTAAGAGTTCAAAAGTTGAGAAACAATGTTGTTAAAGGAAACTAAACAGGTTTCTTGGATAAAATGCTAACTTATAAGAAGCTCTGGCTAAAGAGCAAGAAGATAGATCAGCTGACTTCTCAGACCACTACTATTACTACTTTTCTAGAATATTTTTATTTATTCTCCTCTTAAAGTCTCCTTTATTTCCTCCTCCTGATATGATTTTTTAAAATGACAACTGCAAAAGAAATCATAAATAAAGAAAAAATTTGGCAACTCTTGGAACCTAAATATAAACCCTGTTGGCATGTTTACACTTTTTTTGGATATCAGCTGTATAATTCTTTAGCCAGATTCAGTCTCATTCCTAACACAGTTAAGTGTGCTTTGTAAGGGTTTTATTTATTAACTTGCCTCACACATATAAAAAAGAAAAACAAATACACAGTCATATTTCCCAACACCTTTCCCCCACCAAAAAAACAGTATAGGGTAGCCAGTATAATGTATTATTGAAAAAGTATCATTTTAAAACATAACTATTATTGTAAAAATAAAAAATAAACATGACAAATCAGTCACAAGGCAGAGAGGTAGGAAGTCATATTACAACAAAAGTCCATGGATGAAGTATCTGCTTAAGTATCTGCTTAATACTCATACACAGAAAACACTCCCAGTTAGAAAAAATTTCTTTAATTTAGTTTAAAATTTCATCAAGGTAGAATGCAGTTTTGCAAAGTTCCAAGGATCCTATTACATAGTTGCTAATTAACCTTTAGTTCCTTATTTATACATTTTTTTTTTACTTACAGATATAAAAGGGAAAAAAATCCTAGAAATTATTTTAAACAGAACATTATACAATTAATTAAAAGTAGGAATTGGAGTGGAACAATGTGGCTTTAGATACTGATAATCAATAGACAGGATGACTCACAAAATATATTAAGTATTATCATTTTCCAGTCTCTGCATCTCATCTCGTCCCACCTGTCCAAGGTGAGACAAAAGTTTGCTATATGCTTCCCTGTTTAAAAAAAAGAAAAGAAAGCAAATATATTTATTACCATTTTCATTATTTTTCATTTAAGTATTTACAAATTAAGTCTGGCTGTCCATCATCCATCCATCTATCCAGCCATCTGTCCAGCAGGCTTAGCACAACACTTCTTAAAAAGTAATGTTTTATATCTATTGTGAGTAAATCTAGATGTTAAGATGTATTGAGTTTAAGTGTGATTTTTTATATATAAAATGTGTGCTAAAAAAAACATGTAAAAGTTCACTAACCTTCTGAAATATTATAATGGTCACAGGTAATAAAATACGTTCAGGAATATTATTTAAGGACAATGATGGTATGATTACAATGGGAATACTTGTATCACAAACCTAAGTATTAAAACAAAAATTCTGTAACCATAAAATAGACCTGTGTAGCAATTTCAGTATGTATCCCATTTTCTTCTTTTAACCTCTTATAGGTAACGACGTTTGAAAATAAAATACTGTCTCTCCTCCTACATTCTCTAGTATGTAGAGAATGTAACTGGGAGGTGTTTTAGATGATTTACTGTGCCTAGCAGTTATCTCACTAGTCTAAATACCTGTTCTATTCAGAACCTTTGAAACCAACCTTCTTATGGGCCTGCACAACCACACAAGGTAGTAGGCCTGAATATTTGTTTTAACAACATACTGCATTAGGGTGGTTCACACATAGCCTCTCTAGTTTTTTCATTCAAATTTGAAGACTGCTCAGAGAAGTCAGATGTGAGACATGTCTGCATGAGCTTGTTTTGTGACATGACAATCAACACCACTTCTTCAAACTACAATTTGAAGTGATTCAGTCTTCTCTCTCTAGAAAACCATAGGAGGCTAACCAAGTCCCTATGCAGAAGAAAGGAGATGTTCCATTCTGGCATACAAAAGCTCTACAAGGATGATCTCTCCAGTCTGCCCCCCGCCCCCCGTGCCTTTTATATGGTTTTCATTTACTGTACTGAAAAACTGGATTCCATTAGTTCGCTAAAGCTATAGTCAATATAGTCATGTCTCCAAGAAAGATCTCATATATGACATTGTTTAATAAAAAATTTTCATCTAAAAATTGGAATATGCATATTCATTAGACTGTGTATTTGTATAGATACATATACACAGACACATGCATATGATTATAGTCATGCACTGCATTAGCAACATTTTGGTAAATGATGGGCTGCATTCTGGTCAATGATGGGTCCCATTAAGATTATAATGGTACTAAAAAATTCTTAATGCCTGGTGATGCTGTAGCCATTGTAATGTCTTAGTGTAATGCCTTTCTCATGTGTTTGTGGTGATGCAGGTGTGAACAAACCTACTGTACTGTCAGTCATATAAAAGTCTAGCACACACAATTGTACACAGTATATAATACTTGATAATAAGAAACAATGTTACTGGTTTAGTTTATGTATTTACTATACTTTACTTTTTATTGTTATTTTAGAGTGTACTCTTCTTTATACTTATAAAAATAAAAGATAACCGTAAAACAGACTCAGGCAGGTC